CCTCCCCTGGGGTGGGTTGGGTGGGTTTACTGGGCCCGCAGTAATTGGCGCAAGCTGTTGCGGTGTCCCTGCCGGTCGGCGAAGCTTAATAAATCAAAACTTGAGTTTAAGTTACAGTTTCATGAATAATAAGACATGGTCGGTACCATTTCCAAGGAAAAAAACATTTTTTTATTCTATTCACCACTTATTGTCACAATTCACGAAGTGTTCAGGATGAAGTATGTGAATCACTTTGCAAGTGGATGTCCTTTGGTTTGAGCCTGTGTTACAATGTTTTGCGCAGTTAAGTCACGAGGGAATGTCCCGTATGTGTACGCTAGTCAGAAGAACTCGTATATCTCCGTCGAATAGAGGGTTCAATGTCGCAAAGAGATTGAGAAATATAGGCGTGAAGGGTATCATCTAGTAAAACTCTTTAATGAATGATATTATTTTTCTAGAAAAAAGTGGTCTCATGCACCTGGGATTGTCACAAGCCGCTCCCTTTGACAATGCAAAGAGAGTTTAAAGAGAGCTTATTTCCTAGATTTCACTTCAGGAAAGTTATAGACTGAATAAATAATTATGGCGGTTTCCTCGACAGATTGATGTTTTGGACTGATTGGGGGAGCTCACCGAAAATCGAGAAGTCAGCTTTAAATGGCACCAAGCGTTTTGCAATTGTAACAACCAATCTTACGAGGCCATACGGTATCACTCTTGATCGTCGAAACAAACTTGTTTTTTGGGTGGACAATGGAATGGACGTAATAGAATCCGTGGAATACAGTGGAAGCAACAGAAAACTCCTCTTTCAGCGACGAGGAATGTTTTTTTGGGGAGTAACTTTCACCTCGTCGTACCTGTTCATCAATGAATGGCGAAAAAGTTGGGTTTCCCAAATGAATGCCTATAATGGAACAATTGTGAATAATATGACAACCGGTGGCATTTTTCCGAGCGGACTTATCGCATTTGACAGCTCGCTGCAGTTAGCAGGTTTGTATTACAATTTCACAAACTACACTATGATAAATATGTTTGATTAGAGAGCTTAAAAGCCCCCTGATCGTGAATGTAGATAATGAGACGGTCAATTAGCCCAGTCGAAGAATAAGAGTATCATTCTCTCTGCAATTGTAACAGCTTCTTTATCTCTAACGTTTATTTTGAAATGCTGAACGAAACAGCTATAGTGACCAAAGCGTGGACATAAAATTCTTGAAAGCTATTTTTATGATCTGACCCCATATGAAAAATTAAGATTTGCGTTGTTATTTGTAATCCATCATCTGAAGATTTTTTTTTTGTATTCATAACAAAAGCTACAGATAATTGTTACAGCACTGTCTTTCTTTTTTAGTTGCAGTAACTACGTGTCCAGTGTTACGTGCACCGACTGATGGAGCAGTACTTGGATGTCCTGGAAATGCAGGAGCAAATTATGATACAGTCTGTCAGTTCACGTGTAACAGTGGCTATATAGGTTATGGTTCTCAAGAAAGAAGATGTCAACACGATGGAACTTGGAGCGGAAAAGAGTTTGTTTGTCAAAGTAAGTAGCAATATATTAACTTTCCGATGAAACTTTGTATAATTAATTTTTTTGGGGGGGGGAGCGAGGGGGGAGATCATACCTCAGTGTTTCGTAAACCACCTCCCAGCTCAACTTTCTCCAGCTATAAAAATAGCCATTCACGATTTCTACTAAGCTAATCGGATTGCAGTTAGTATCAAATAGTGCGTAGTAATGTTGTCTGTCTGTTTGTTTGTTTACTTTCGTTTCGTAATTTTAACAAAAGTGAAAACAGTTCTCAGGACTCAGTCAAAACAATCTGTGACGAACTTAACATTTACGGTCATATTTACAGACAGAGTTAGATTGTTCGAAGGAGATGATCAGAACCTGGAGAAAAGTGTACTCTCAATAGCTTTTCATAGCAACCAACTTCTCGCTTTAGATTTAGTGACATAAACGTAACTTGATCATTTATCAGACAATCATATTGAATTTTATCATTTAGCTATTACTTGCACTTTACCGACAAATGGTGTACTCTTGGGATGTAAAACAAACACGAAAGAGATGTTTTATAACGCAGAGTGCAGATTCTCTTGTAAGGAAAGAGTCGAAGAGATGAGTCCAACGGTGAGGATCTGTACAGAAAATGGAAGCTGGACCGGGACCGACCTTGTCTGCAAAGGTATAGCATTTGCGAACACTTACTTCTGGAGAGCTTTTTTCTCTTGACCCAAACGTACTGAGGATCTTGGATCTGAGACGAATCAGTAGTATTTCTAAGGTTGGCTACGATTGTAGATTGCGACAGTCGATCTAACATCGTGGTAATAATCATTTTTCCATTGCCTACGCTGGCTATCTCATGTAAGTATGTTTCAGGATCAATCGATGTAACTTGCGATCTTACATTACGAATGGATACAAGTTCGTCTTTAGTATTTTTAAGGTTTGCAGCGGTTGTAGATCACAATGGTCGATCTAACAACTTCGCAGCAATCTTTTATGTGGCTGGCATGCACATGCAGCTGATCCAATCATACATCTGCGCTTGGATCACTCGATTTACGATCGTAGAATGGATCGTCACTGTCTCAATTTGTTCAAGACTCAGTTACGATACAATTGCCTCGTCCTCCTTATTCACTTTTATCAGTGCTACTGATATTGAATAAGAGATGAAATTTGCAGCTCTGGGGACTTTCTGGTTGTAATTCAAGTACTAATCCCATGTTGAGCTTGTTTCGTTTACAGCGTAGGCTGTTATTGCAAACGACTTATGATTCTATCAGTAGGCATCTTAATGCATTTGATCCAGATCGAGAAGCTACGAGGTCACTCTAGCTTGCCAGAGACTTAACTGACAACAACAACAACAACAACAAAAACAGTCTTTATTTGCACTCACTCTTGCTCAGAAAAAGTTACAACAAAGAGAATACTAAAAAGTATGAGTTAGAGTACTGGCTGCCTGGAATAACCATAAGGGCTAGCGGAGCCAGGCAGCCAGTTGACATCAGTATTAAATAAATATAAATTATAAACTATAGGTCAGCAAGAAAACTGAAGTAAAAATGCACACGTAAAAGAAAAAATATATATAAAAAGGAAGGGAGAGAAGAGGAAAAATGCTATCTAAGCTAGGAAGGAAGTCTGAAATAGTAAAATTTGCATATAAATAGATAACATGAAGACATGGAAAGGTGACAGAATTTAACAAAATACTAATTTACTGGTAATTTTGAAAACAACATAACTGCTTATGAGAAAAGAAGTAACTAATAATCTTTGACAAGATCACATATTACTGAGTCCTTAAAGTTTGAGATAGAGAAGGTTTTCAAATTTTCAGTATTAACTGACGGTAATAATTGCTGGTGTGAGATTCAGATGATAGCTTACGGTCGAACAGTTTGGTCATGAACCTTGAGGACGTACATCAATTTGAGTCAGGTGCATGAGGACTTGTTTAAGCTGTCGGAGGAGTTAAAAAAAGGACAAAACAATAAAACCAAAAGAAAATAAAGAGCAAAAAAAAGGTATTTGGAAAGCTAAATCATAATTTTCAGATTTTATTTTTCCGCACAGTTTGAGGTTCGGCGGAAAACGAAGAGTTTCAGGGCACCGATCAGAATACCTTGCCACCCTGATCGGGAGAAGGGGAAAAGTGAAGGAGCCATTTAATTTGTGGACTTATCGTATGTAAACGAAAGAATTACAAAGCGGGTAATTTTCTAACTGGAGCATTGATTTCGTTCTGCGAAGCCGATTGCGAAATTTCCGTGGTAAATATAGTCATATTGTCCTCAAAAGATATTCTACGTATGTACCTGAAGTGAAAACAGTTTGTCTCTCTTTTCTTTATCGATAGCAAAGGCAGCTCGATCTAGAGTTGGGAAATTTTCCTTTAGTTTTTCCAAAATATAGCTGATCGATTTCTGCCAGATTCTTAGTGAAGATAAATCAACTGAATAGCACATTTCCGAATTACCTTTGGCCTCGTTTTAAAAGCGACTACTGGTACTACTCCATTCATTCTAAGTAAATTTAACTCTTTTTGAAAAAGAGGCCGAAGGTAATTCGGAAACGGCCCTTTGTTGGTGGTTACTAATCTCGTACTCAGATCCTAACGCGTAACTGTAACTTGGCGCTGGAAGGCCTTGATACCAGACTTGTGGTGTTCTAATATAGCCCCTCTTAAGGAAAAGGTAAAGACAACTATTCCCTATCTTCTGTCAAAAGGTTTGTTAGAAATCTGATTTGTAATACCACCCGATCATTTAAGTTCAATTAGTATTGATTTTTATTCGCTGTCACTGTCACTGTCACTGTCCTTTCCCGGTCACTGTCCCTGTCCCTGTCCTTTCCCGGTCACTGTCCCTGTCCCTGTCCCTGTCCCTGTCCTTTCCCGGTCACTGTCCCTGTCGCTGTCCCTGTCCCTGTCCCTGTCCTTTCCCGGTCACTGTCCCAATCACTGTCCCTGTCCCTGTCCTTTCCCGGTCACTGTCCCTGTCACTGTCTCTGTCCCTGTCCCTGTCACTGTCACTGTCACTATCCTTACCACTGCTGCTGTGAACGTCAGTATCCTTGCTTTTGTCGCTATCATTCTAACTGTATCGGTATTTATTATTGTCAGGCATTATTGTCGTCATTGCTATGCAATTATCATTAATCGCATTTTCAGTTATAAAAGCAAAATAAACGTCACCTAAACTATCATTTTGTTTTCTGTATAGCTCTCCGGTGTCCGCTGCCGACTAATGGTATACCTTTGGAATGTAACTCTAGTAGTACGACAGAGATGTGATATGACGCAGAATGCAGGAACTCTTGCATGGAAGAGCCTGGGGTGATTGGGTCAACTGTAAGGAGATGCAATGCAAATGGCAAATGGAAAGGAACGGACCACGTCTGCAAAAGTATAAGAACTGCGAACATATATTATAATCAGTTGAAACAATCATTGTGATTCTTCAGGTATTGTGGTCAGTTACACTGTCGATGCCGCAAATAGATGCTGCGCTTGTGCCTAGTAATAGATCGTAAATGACGTCAAAATGTGGTAAAGAAACAATGTGCCATGTGTGTCCAATGGAACAAAGCTTGGATGGCCAGGCAATACAGCAGTTTATGTTTTCTCTTTCTTTTACTATTTTGTCCATCATATATAATACATTTGTCACAGCGACTATATATTGATCTATAACTACCTGTTCATCACATGAGATGGTCTGAGACCCGAGGATGTTCGAAGGAGCCCTCTAAGGAAGATCTCCACATCTCCATATCGCAGTTAAAATCAACTTAAAGAAAATGAACGGATGTAAATTATTCCTTAAGTCTTAAGAACTGATGGATGAATCTTTTAAGCAAAAACACCCTCTAATATAACTCGTCTTTATGATTTTTTATTTCGTTAATGTCGTCGAGCTTAAATATTGCAAACATACTGAAACCAGCGCTTGACTAAGAACAACCTACATCAGCTAAGAGATTTGAAATGGTTCGTTCATGATGTTCATTCATTCATTTTGTTTTACCATTACCAGAAAAAAATTAACCGAATGCAAAATTTATGATGCATCAAAGATAAAAAGAACTGTTCGGGCTAAATTAAGTTAAAAATCAAAGGAACTGAAGAGGTAACAGCAAGGAATCCTATTAGAAGCCGGGGGCTTATAAAGTATAGGCTTCCTTAAACTATAGTTTAAACCATATAAATCAAAGGTGCTGAACGAAAATTTAGATTACGTTGAAAAAAAAAAGAAAGAAAGAAAAGAAAAAAAAAAAGAAAAGGTGTGTAGCTTAACAAAGAATACAAATAACTAAGAAAGAAGAATTTTTTTTCAGCCTTTTGCTAAACAAGCTGATGCTTTCAGAGTATTGAATTTCCCGACGAAAAACTTAGGACCTTGAAACCGAATTGAAAATTTTCGAAAATTAGTTTTCCCTAGGATTTCTCTATGTCCCCTAGGATTGGAATGAAAATGTGAGTAATCACGCTATTGAGACTGTGTATTTCAGAATTACTTCATGATTGCGCGTTGGATGTGAGATCGCAAATAGTCAACGAAGCGCACGGCATAAACTTGTATGTAACCAATGCATTGTCATTTCCGGAGAAGACGTATTTGTTTTATCAATACAATAATTAAAGTAAATATTTAACAAATTCTCTACGCGTCATTTTTGGGTGGAAGTTTTGTAAATCTATTGTCACAAAAACTTCGTCCAAGTTCAAACGACCGGGAGTCGATGCCACTTCCGACTGCCTAAACGGTAAAGTTACCACGTGACATGACTGTCGCTTTACGACAACACCTGAATGAAATATCCACATGGAGCAACTGCACATAGTCGCACCTGAATATTTACCAAAATTGCAGCATTTTAACGTCAAGAATCGTACAAGGGAATAAGTTCAAGTATATTCGAGGAAAGCATTCAAATGTGTGTGTGTGTTCGAAGTCAACGTCATTGGTAAAAGTTCCTAATTTGTATTCCCGGCTTTGATTTGAATCTGCTGAGTTTTATTTCTTGCTCCGATTGTGTTAATTAAAAGTTTACTCAGACATTTCAATTTTAAAAGTTTTTAGAAACTTCAAGCTTACGGTTGATCAGTGTTGATGTCGTTATATAATGGCTTCATGTCCTTCATTGACAAAAAGTTTCATGTGTGTGATAGCGAACGGAGGAAACAAAGGTTATGGCTGACTGCTTGCACGGACTGACAAAAAATTTCCGAGTTGTCTGCGATTAATTCCAAATAGAGGTTTCCTGCTGACGTCACGTATCCCGTAGCAACCATGTTGACCGCCATCCTGAAGGTCAGGTCTTCCAAAGTTGACAAGCGATTCTGACCATGTCTGCAAAAAACCGAACGAGAAAACCAAGAGGTTACTCGTTAATTTTTTCTTAATCTTAAAAATGCCAAGTGCGCCAAGAACGTGAAAGTGGCGGTGATAGTTATATCTTTGTGCGCTCGGTCAAAACAACCGTGTTCGGTCCTTAAAAAAATTTGTGCGTTTGGTCAAATGAACTGCGCACAGACAATTTAACTTTGTGTGTTCCGTCAAAACAACCGAGTTCGGTCTAATTAACTTCGTGTGTTCTGTCAAATCAATTGCGTTCTGTCAATCAACCGGCATCGATTGTTAGATCGAGATCCGATTATCACGCACTCAAAACAGCGTCTGTTACGAAAAGCAATAGATTCACAATCCTTTATTCCGAAATTACGCAATTATTTCGTCAGCCCTATATCCTTGACCTTAGATTTTGAAACAAAGAAAGCAAAAAGGTGACACGTAGCGAAGAACTGAGACTTTTATCTTTCAAAGGGGGGAGGGATGGCAGCGACTGTACTCGGGTGCTTAAGCAGCTTCTGTGTTTTACCTAATAAAGCACATATTTTTTTGACGGATTTTTAATGTGCCTTCAATTATTTTTGAAGAATGTTCTATGGTCAAGTGAGTTAACTTAGGTCGTTATTTACCGGTAGATAACACACTTACCCGTTGTCACATCGGAACATAATAAAGTCTGCATTGGTATTCGCAGCTCATGTTTACGACACATTGCTGATAAAATTCTCCATTATTTTTAGTCATGTAATAAGCAAGAAGGATAACAGAATCCGAATAGAATGGTAGTTTGGGGGATTTTATTCCTTGCACTCTTTAAACCATGACGACTCCACCCTACCCTGCACAGTCAGAAAACGCTACTCTACCCCATCCCTATCGATTCTTAACGGAAATGAAACCAGAATGTTGTGTGCCAGAGAGGTTTCTTAGGCATTAACGAATTATGACAATGAATGGCAATGTCTTGCTGGAGATACTCGTGCTATTTATCTTGATTTCCTTCAGGGAACATTGCAGAGTAAATTCTTGTGGAGGTGAGTGAATTTTTCTAATCATTTGTTTGTTACGCTGATGATGTTTTTACTTTTGTGTCACGTTTGAGAATAGGCGAAAATTTTTGATGAGTGCCGTACAAATCGTAGTTCTTTTGGTGATGTGGGTTGCGTTCAGAATTTAGAGTGTTCGATCGAACGGTTGTCTAAGTTTAAAACAAATGAGAACTGACTTTAGGAAGTTAACGAAGCAAGATCTCGAAATTAAATGAAAAAGATCCACAGTGACGTTTAACTTGCTGAAGCATGCGTACCAGGAAGAATTATTCGACCTCACTTACTAGACCCAAACCTATAAGCTCGAGTTTTATGTCTTACGACCTAGACCCTGATCGACGAATATGTTGGCCATTTCATTAATTTTCTGCGCAGTCATGGACGTATGAGCGAAGGTAAGGAATATCTCATTACGTATTCGATAGTTTTGCGATTGTAAATTTGTCTGGTGATATGCTTTACGAACCGCTGAATGTTTCGCATTCCACGGATCACATCACAGCAAACCAAAGTATGAAAATGTCAACAGAGGACCAGCCAAGATTCATTTCATCCGACGCAAATGTATCGCAAGAATTCCTTTATTTACTATTTTACCGACTATGTATACACTGGAAGGTGAGGCGACCGCATAGGAAAGTTTACATAAACGAGTAAACAATTGCTATACTCACGTCAAATGGGAGTCGTCACGTACGTCACGCACGTAACCGTTGATGGAAAGTCACGCAGAGCTGTTGAATACTATCTTGCTCCTTCAAACTGTTATGAAAATCTATTGAGTAACCATCGTTATTTTAAGTTATTTCAAGCAAAAACTCTTCTTTTGCTTTTCGTCTTTAAATCACGTTTTAATCGATCGTTGCTGACCAGAGTTTATTTCATATAGCTTTAGTTCTGGTAATTAAAGCGAGAAACCGAATTAAAAACAAAACAAAACAAAACAAAAAAACCAACAAGATTTTTTCTCAGCTTTCAAATGGAGTTGCTTGAAGAAGATGACGATCGGACGTGTTGATTTGACGTCTGTCATAATTCTGTGTCTATGCCTAATAATCTTTCGCCAGGACAACATCGAGGACTCCATCTTTAGCTTCATATCGTGTTTCCTTGGCAGAACGTGTTTATGTTTCGCAAGCTTTTTACCGTCCTTCTGGCCGATATAGTAAATCTGTACTCGTCCGGTCAACAAGCAATGCGTTTTCTACTACTAGTGTCAAGGTTTTCAAGCTACTGCACCTCATACAGATAGGCCTAGCGCCTAGTCGCAGAGTGGGGCCTGCTATGTGGCGACATTTCGGTTAATCCTTGCCCTTTCAGCCTACATGCCTCGCAATGCCGGAATAGTTTATCGTTCTATCACCGCCTGGAACATTCAAAGGCTTACGAATCCAAAGTTCGAAGAGATTTCTAAATCGCTTACTGGTGAAGCTCGACCTGACTGTAAGCTTGACATTTTGATTCTAACGGAGTCTTTTTGTAATAGTAAAGTGCCGGACTCGTACTATTATATCCTCGCTTATACGCTACACGGGAAAGACCGACAAGGAAAGCTTGGGGGTGGAATCCTCGCTTATGTTAATGAGAATCTATGCATTCGACGCCGTTTAGATCTTGGGACAAACGACATTGAAGCCCTATGGCTTGAAGTTTACCCGCATAAATCAAAGCCACCTTTATTGATCTCTGGGGTCTACCGTCCTACATCGGCGAAGCGGGAATACAACATCAACTTGGGGAAAAACATCGAAAACGCCTATTTAGCAAACATGGAACTGATTGTGAAGGAAGAGTTGAACTATGACTTTCTAAATTCAACGTGTTTCTACAAACAAAATCGAGTTAAATATTTGAACCTAAACCAGATGGTAAACATCGTTGCCATCCCTGCTTCTACCGCGTGCTTGGATCATATTCAGGTAAGTCATCCCGAGAGAATGTGTATTGTCTCTGTAATTAATGTCGGTTTGTCTGATTACTTGCCAGTTTTTGCATCGAGGCGTTATAATCAGTGGCAGGAGCAAGGCCCTTGCAGAGAAAAGAAACATCTTTCGTTTGAATATAGGAACCTCAAGAAAATTGACAAAGATAATTTTATCAAAGATCTTAATGAGGCCCCGTGGGACGCAGCCTTTGTCTTTGAAGAAACCGACGAGATTATTGACACCTGGTATGACATTTTTAATGGCACCAGGCATAACAAAACGAATCATGAACCGAAATGTCAGCCCAAATGGTTTACTGGCGATCTTAATGATGAGATCAAGAAGAGAGATCGTCTCCTTGGAAAGGCTCGAAATTCTAGTAATTCTGGGGACTGGATGCTTTTTAGAGAATCAAAAAATAGAGTTACCCGGCTCATAAGAAATGCAAAGAAACCCTTTTTCAAGTCTCAGGTGGTGGAAAATCGAAAGAAATTCTGGTCACTGATTAGAGATCTCTCAAGGGATTCGCAAGAAAGGGATTATTATGTTCGAGAGCTTGATGAAGATGGGGAAATTGTCACTGAAGACAATCGTAGTGCCGAACTGTTTAACTCCTTATTTGTTAATCAGGCCACAAAAATATTGGGTTCCGCTGATTCATGCTTACTAACTGAAATCTCGTCTTCCTTTTTTTAAAGAAACTAAGCACTTAAAATATACATTTGAACTTCCATTCATCTCCCCTGCGAAGGTTTTGAGAATGCTGCAGGCAATGCCCTCTAACAAAGCGACAGGAGCGGATAGTCTTGGCATTCGAAAGTTAAAAATCGCTGCGCCAGGTATTGCCAGCTCGGTTGCGAGCCTTATCAACTATTGTATCTCCACCGCAGTTTTCCATCCAAGGGGAAAATGGCGAAAGTCACACCCTTTTTAGAAATCAAGGCCCAAAGACTCATAAACAGAACTATCGTCCAATCTCAGTCCTTCCCATTTTGTCCAAGATCTACGAGAGGCATATATATGAATCATTGTACTTGTACAATAGAAACGACCTAGAAATCTAGAAACGACCTTTTGTATGGACCACAGTCAGGGGGTTCCGAAATCGTCATTCAACTGAAACTGCTCTTATTCGACTCTTGGATCAAATTGTCTTTGATATTGACTGTAATAATGTAACTGGCCTTGTATGTATTGACTATAGTAAGGCTTTTGACTTGATCAATCATGATATTCTCCTTGTTAAACTGAAGGCGTACGGTGTTGATGACGGAAACTTACAATTGTTTCGGAGCTATTTGGCTGATCGACAACAGTATGGTAACATAAATGGGTGCACGTCATCTCCACTAGGTATCACCCATGGTGTTCCACAAGGAAGTATTTTAGGCCCCCTGCTGTACCTGACTTTCATCAATGACCTCCCACTAGTGATCTCAAACTCTACTGTGGATAATTATGCCGATGGTACTACCTTTTCCTCTAGTGCTCATTGTACTTTGGGGACGATGGCAGTTGAAACAAATCTTCAAGAGGACATTGACAGTCTTTGCGCGTGGTCTGCACAGAACCGCATGGTCTTAAATGCCAGGAAAATCAAATCTATTCTGGTAACTGGCAAGCGTCTCAAGTCACGAGTACGCGGCTCTAGTTTGAAGTTGCAAGCAAATGGAACAGCTATCGAGCAAGTTGTACATCAGAAACTGCTTGGGGTTACAATTGATCAAGAACTAACTTTTAAGGAGCATGAAGAAAAGCTTTGTAAGAGGCTTTGTCAAAAAATTGGTCTTCTGAAAAAGATGCGTACTTATTAACCAATTGACGAAAGACGACTTTTTTATAATGCCCTTATTAAGCCGGTCATGATGTATGGTAGTTTAGTTTGGACTTATTGTTCTAATGAGGATCTCAAGAGAGTGTTTCGGTTGCACAATTAATAAATTAATAGTGATTAATAAATTGGATCCCATTCTACGATGAAGTTAAGATAAGAAAGTGTAAGATAAGAGAGTGTTTCGGTTGCACAATTAATAAATTAATAGTGCTTAATAAATTGGATCCCTTTCTACGATGACGTTAAGATAAGAAAGTGCGTACTTGTTTATAAGGCGCTGCATGGGGAATCCCCTATGTATATCGAGAGTTCTTTAACTACGAATTACTCACTACACGGTAGAAAGACCAGACATGCCCAATATAATTTAATCTGTCCTAAGTTTCGTAATATTACTGAAGCTGGAAGGTCTTTTTGAGTTAGTAGCGTCAAGTTATGGAACAGTTTGCCAAATGAGCTTAAGAAAAAACGAAGCACTTCCTCTTTCAGAAATGATTTGAGAAATTATTTTATTGATTCTCATCATAGACACATTGATTCTTTTGAGGCTATATTGTAGTATATGTTTTATTCTATATATTTTATTTATATTTGTTTTTAATAGTTACTTCGTTGGGCTAGTTCCAATTTTAATTCTAGACTTGCATGTATTACTTACTAATCCTTAGTTTTGAGGGCCACTGGTTTGTCAGCGTAAGTTGTTATGTGTACACCCTCTTTAAATAAAGCTCACTTACTTACTTGCTAGATATTTGAAAAGATTTAATGCCAATTTAACGTTATCCTCTGATCAAAAGTTATCCCGCTTTGGCACTTGCATACACGCGTACTAAGCGTCAGATTTCTGGATGCGATGCATACTCTTTGAGAAAGCGTNGCATTCGAAAGTTAAAAATCGCTGCGCCAGGTATTGCCAGCTCGGTTGCGAGCCTTATCAACTATTGTATCTCCACCGCAGTTTTCCATCCAAGGGGAAAATGGCGAAAGTCACACCCATTTTTAGAAATCAAGGCCCAAAGACTCATAAACAGAACTATCGTCCAATCTCAGTCCTTCCCATTTTGTCCAAGATCTACGAGAGGCATATATATGAATCATTGTACTTGTACAATAGAAACGACCTAGAAATCTAGAAACGACCTTTTGTATGGACCACAGTCAGGGGGTTCCGAAATCGTCATTCAACTGAAACTGCTCTTATTCGACTCTTGGATCAAATTGTCTTTGATATTGACTGTAATAATGTAACTGGCCTTGTATGTATTGACTATAGTAAGGCTTTTGACTTGATCAATCATGATATTCTCCTTGTTAAACTGAAGGCGTACGGTGTTGATGACGGAAACTTACAATTGTTTCGGAGCTATTTGGCTGATCGACAACAGTATGGTAACATAAATGGGTGCACGTCATCTCCACTAGGTATCACCCATGGTGTTCCACAAGGAAGTATTTTAGGCCCCCTGCTGTACCTGACTTTCATCAATGACCTCCCACTAGTGATCTCAAACTCTACTGTGGATAATTATGCCGATGGTACTACCTTTTCCTCTAGTGCTCATTGTACTTTGGGGACGATGGCAGTTGAAACAAATCTTCAAGAGGACATTGACAGTCTTTGCGCGTGGTCTGCACAGAACCGCATGGTCTTAAATGCCAGGAAAATCAAATCTATTCTGGTAACTGGCAAGCGTCTCAAGTCACGAGTAGGCGGCTCTAGTTTGAAGTTGCAAGCAAATGGAACAGCTATCGAGCAAGTTGTACATCAGAAACTGCTTCGGGTTACAATTGATCAAGAACTAACTTTTAAGGAGCATGAAGAAAAGCTTTGTAAGAGGCTTTGTCAAAAAATTGGTCTTCTGAAAAAGATGCGTACTTATTAACCAATTGACGAAAGACGACTTTTTTATAATGCCCTTATTAAGCCGGTCATGATGTATGGTAGTTTAGTTTGGACTTATTGTTCTAATGAGGATCTCAAGAGAGTGTTTCGGTTGCACAATTAATAAATTAATAGTGATTAATAAATTGGATCCCATTCTACGATGAAGTTAAGATAAGAAAGTGTAAGATAAGAGAGTGTTTCGGTTGCACAATTAATAAATTAATAGTGCTTAATAAATTGGATCCCTTTCTACGATGACGTTAAGATAAGAAAGTGCGTACTTGTTTATAAGGCGCTGCATGGGGAATCCCCTATGTATATCGAGAGTTCTTTAACTACGAATTACTCACTACACGGTAGAAAGACCAGACATGCCCAATATAATTTAATCTGTCCTAAGTTTCGTAATATTACTGAAGCTGGAAGGTCTTTTTTAGTTAGTAGCGTCAAGTTATGGAACAGTTTGCCAAATGAGCTTAAGAAAAAACGAAGCACTTCCTCTTTCAGAAATGATTTGAGAAATTATTTTATTGATTCTCATCATAGACACATTGATTCTTTTGAGGCTATATTGTAGTATATGTTTTATTCTATATATTTTATTTATATTTGTTTTTAATAGTTACTTCGTTGGGCTAGTTCCAATTTTAATTCTAGACTTGCATGTATTACTTACTAATCCTTAGTTTTGAGGGCCACTGGTTTGTCAGCGTAAGTTGTTATGTGTACACCCTCTTTAAATAAAGCTCACTTACTTACTTGCTAGATATTTGAAAAGATTTAATGCCAATTTAACGTTATCCTCTGATCAAAAGTTATCCCGCTTTGGCACTTGCATACACGCGTACTAAGCGTCAGATTTCTGGATGCGATGCATACTCTTTGAGAAAGCGTTCCAACAATTTCCAAAGAGAAAAAAATGTGCTCCGTATCTTACCATCCCCACCTCATAAACCGCCTCTGGGGTTGAGTTACTTATTCCTTGAAATTTAAGATTAGGTTACTTCATAACTTCCTCTAAATTTAAGGAACATGACACGAAAAAGTAAATATTGCAATGTGGCTAGAAGAAACAAAATGTTTACTGGGCAAACAATCTCGCCATCAATAATCTACGTTTTCTGACGTCAATCTGAGGTCATTCCAGATGAAAAGACTCGCAAAATTCTCCACAACTAAAAATTCGCAACTGTAATTTCAATCAATTTAACTCCACTGCTTTGCCGTCATAACTGAGTTAAGACAGTTTCCTTGGCTGTTGTTTCTCTCTCCCCCCAACTTCCGCGTTCAATTGCATTCTCCGTTTCGCAGGCATTAACTAAGATCNCTAACTGTCTGTCAGTTCACGTGTAAGAATGGCTTCATAGGATCTGGTTCTCCAATTAGGAAATGTCAACAAAATGGAACTTGGAGTGGACAAGAATTTTCTTGTGAAAGTAAGTTCTCAAACCTTAGCAACGCTTGAAAATATTAGCTTCTTGCTAACTGGACAGGAGGACCGTATTGGGGATTATAAGTTGCGCGGTGGGGTTATCACAACAACGACCGAAGGCCAATATTTAAACAATAGAGTGTTTTTGTCGAGGAACTATCGACTGATAGTTGCCCCGCGGAAATTTGATGTTCTTAAAACAAATATGCTAGTTTTAAGAACATTAAATTTCCAAGGGGCATTTATCAGACCGATAGTTCCGAGACATAAACACTCTATTGTTTTTATTGTTCACCACTAAATTTTCTTCCACGCCTACAGCTTGTCACAAATGTCAATAATTTGCAACCGTACATTGGCTAAATAGTACGTTATACCTGTCAGAATTGAAAAGCCACTGTTTTTCCGATCTGCCTAACTTCGCGGCCGTCAAACTATTCAAAACTTTTCACGAATGAGTACTATCAATCCAGGTCTTTTCCGCGGACGGGTACTATCCATTCGGGTATTTTCCGCGGGCGGGCACTATGGACTGGTAGTGTCCCTCCACGGATGAACACTATCGCGTCACGTGATCGATTTAAACCAATAAGAACCGGAGAAAATTTAGTGGTGAACTATAATGGCCAGTATGGCTGGAATAAGTGACACAAGTAAAGAATACATTAAAATGCACTCGAACCACACTCATTGATTTTGAGTTTGCCGACTCTCCAGGAAAAAGCACGGCTTATGTCTGTTTCGTGGAAATAGTCCGTTTGACTAAATCCCAACTAATGAAAACCGTAACGGTTATTGCTTTGGGAATTGCTATAAGTGTCTTAATGACCATGCATCATTCTTCTTTTACTAGTCATTAATTGTACATCACTGACCATCGACCCAGGAGGTCCACTTAGCATGAGTTATTGTGGTAATCAGCATGGAACAAAATGTAACTTTTCTTGTCCTATTGGTTATCGTTTGAATGGATCATCAGTGATAACGTGTGTTGCCCCTGGTAACCAAAATCCTGGAGTGTGGAATGACTCTGTACCGACATGTGAAGGTGAATTCGAATTACCTATCAATGTTTACGCTTTAAATATTCTGCAATTCATTCATCTCTTAATAATGATTGATCTTATAAACACGAAACAGGACACAATAACTAATAGGAATAGAAATGATCGATGTGGGATGCCGAGGATATGCTTGTGCTATTTGTATTTTCTTAAAGAAGTATTGCATTTCCATAGTAAAAAAGAGTAGGCCGTTTGCCCATACCTCTTAGCAGAAAAACTTTATTAAATAATTGTTTAGTACTTTTTATAAAACAGGATAGCTATGCATTTTACCTTTTTCAGTTGTGATGTGCCCTGTCCCGATGCCACCAGCCAATGGTTTTCGACAAGGATGCACTGCGAATGCAACACAATACCCTTANAACTAATAGCTTTGTTTCTTGTCTTAGTGTGTTGTTTGTTAGCATGGATGAGTATAAATACCCAAAATCCCCTAATTAAAAAAAAAAAAAGTGGTTCCAGCCTCGCGGTGGGAAAATTTCCACATCAATTATTTGAAACGTTTTAAGAACTATGTTATCATCCACACGGCCGCACGCGTTTTCGTAGTTTAAACGTGTCCCTCCTCTTAACAATTTTTATCATTTATTGCGTGTGTGGGTACTTACTGGAAGTTTTGTTTATTTTCTAAGTGATTACCCGTCCTGTATTAGCAGCATCGTCCAAAGGATTTTTGTTTAAGCGTATCAGGGCAACTGGAGAATGTCTTGAAAATGAAGATGTTACAAAACAAGTTGTCTGTGCGTTAGCTGTACGTTAAACAACATGTGAAAAAAGATGAGAGTTTAAATAACACTTTTCTAGCACTGCGTCTCAAGCAATGCTTAAGCGTATTTCATACTTCCTTAACGTCCTGCGCGCTTCGCTCCTTGATAAATGCATTTTGACCCTGGAACCACTTGCTAATTGAACAGCGTAGGTCACGTTTTACTTATTCTTTTTCTTTGATCAGTTCTAGAAAAAGAAATTAAAATACTCTAAAGTTTTTCTCCTACAACAGGATTAAAATGAATTGTAACATCTTTAGTTGTGATATGCCCTACTCTCGACACGGATGCAATGGGAATGTAACAGAATACCCCTATAGCACAGAGTGTCAGTTCTCCTGCAGTGAAGGCTATAAACTCATCGGTTCCGGCTTGAGAAAATGCCAAGACAATGGGCTCTGGAGCAGAGGAGGGGAATTCTATCGCGAGAGTAAGTTAAAAGTGTATTATAGAAAATTTTTTTATTTTCTCAGCCTCGATAATTTTTGTTGAGAAATGAATTGAACGATACTCACTTTTCTCATCTCTCTGATGAAATGCGCTTGCACTGTCTGAGTCACGTTTTTAATAAATAGTCATTTAATTGATGGCATTCATATTTTAAATTATATATCATATTGTAGGGTCCTTATAGTTTTCTTATTGTATTTATAGATGTTTATATATATATCATAGAAAACATTCACTTTTACTTTTCCGTCTCTGAGACTATGAACAATGGCGTCTTATTGAATTTTTGTCTTTCGTTTAGTTGTCACCTGCCCAGTGTTGTCACTACCGACCTATGGTGTATTCTTGGGATGCAACACTAATGCGACGGAGATGTTATATGGCACGGAATGCTGGTTCTCTTATAAGGAAGGATCTGTAGCAATGGGTTCAATAGTGAGGAGATGTACGGCAAATGGAACCTGGACTGGAACAGATCTTGAGTGTACAGGTATAAGATCTGGCAACACTTGAGTTCATACAAATTCTAAATTATCATAATTATCATTCGAAAATTCTGCACACTTTTTCAATTGTTGATCTTGATTGTTAAACGATTCAAGATCATCAAAAACTTTTGTTTTTTAATGTTCACACAACGTTGCATCTTTTTTTGTTATGCTTGTGCGGTCCATCTTATACATCCGTAATTGGATCATCCATGTACGATCGTAAAACGCAATAACTTGAC